GGGGGGGATTGGGTAGCCGGTCTGCAGTCCAGCTGAGGTATGTAGTCTGAGCTCCAGATTACCTTTGATGCGTTGCACGCCTTGCAGCTTCCCGATTTTGCCTTCGATGGTACTGACGCAGGAATGGCAGGTCATGCCCTCCACCTTCATCTTCAGCAGGACAACGTCCGGAGCAGATTCTTGGCTGGGGTTCGGGGCGTCTAGGCTCAGGGCCGGGAACCTCTGAATCATGGTGTCAGCACTGACAAGTGACGGTATAAAAGTCACACGGAGCACGCTCCCCTCCCCCGTCACATCCAGAACCCCCTTCAGTGCCAGCAGATCCGGGCAGGTCCGCTCCCCAGCCTGATCCTGGGAGAGGTGAAATACGAGACTGTCTGTAGGTACAGCTTGTGGATGTAAACTAACCGGAGCCGACACAAATCCCATGTCCTCAATGGCTTCCTGGAGAGTGACCGGCCCCCAGAAGGCGGGATCATAAATAACAGCAGCGTTCCCGTCTTCCAACGACACCTGGAAGGTAAGAAGAGCCAATGAAGCCAACAGGAAGATTGACGAGAGCAATTAACCTCTGCAACTCCACCCGGCATGCTGCCAGACCTCTGCAACTCCACACGGCATGCTGCCAGACCTCTGCAACTCCACCCGGCATGCTGCCAGACCTCTGCAACTCCACCCGGCATGCTGCCAGACCGCTGCAACTCCACCCGGCATGCTGCCAGACCCCTGCAACTCCACCCGGCATGCTGCCAGACCTCTGCAACTCCACCCGGCATGCTGCCAGACCTCTGCAACTCCCCCCCGGCATTCTGCCAGACCTCTGCAACTCCACCCGGCATGCTGCCAGACCCCTGCAATTCCCCCCGGCATGCTGCCAGACCCCTGCAATTCCCCCCGGCATGCTGCCAGACCCCTGCAATTCCCCCCGGCATGCTATACAGTGATCCCTACTATAGACTGATCCTTTGCTGCAGAATGGAGAGCGCGGAGGGTTAATTCTGCTCTGCTGCACCCGGAGGGGAAATCTTATTCCGGACGCATTTCATCCATTATAACCAAATCAGAGAATAAACCTACGCAGAGAGAAGCCTGGAGGCAGAGACGATGGAACCAGAGCTCCGTGCGTCACGTGACGATGGGACCAGAGCTCCGTGCGTCACATGACGATGGGACCAGAACTCCGTGCGTCACATGACGATGGGACCAGAGCTCCGTGCGTCACGTGACGATGGGACCAGCGCTCCGTGCGTCACGTGACGATGGGACCAGAGCTCCGTGCGTCACGTGACGATGGGACCAGAGCTCCGTGCGTCACGTGACGATGGGACCAGAACTCCGTGCGTCACATGACGATGGGACCAGAGCTCCGTGCGTCACGTGACGATGGGACCAGAGCTCCGTGCGTCACGTGACGATGGGACCAGAGCTCCGTGCGTCACGTGACGATGGGACCAGAGCTCCGTGCGTCACGTGACGATGGGACCAGAACTCCGTGCGTCACATGACGATGGGACCAGAGCTCCGTGCGTCACGTGACGATGGGACCAGAGCTCCGTGCGTCACGTGACGATGGGACCAGAGCTCCGTGCGTCACGTGACGATGGGACCAGAGCTCCGTGCGTCACGTGACGATGGGACCAGAACTCCGTGCGTCACATGACGATGGGACCAGAGCTCCGTGCGTCACGTGACGATGGGACCAGAGCTCCGTGCGTCACGTGACGATGGGACCAGAGCTCCGTGCGTCACGTGACGATGGGACCAGAGCTCCGTGCGTCACGTGACGATGGGACCAGAACTCCGTGCGTCACATGACGATGGGACCAGAGCTCCGTGCGTCACGTGACGATGGGACCAGAGCTCCGTGCGTCACGTGACGATGGGACCAGAGCTCCGTGCGTCACGTGACGATGGGACCAGAGCTCCGTGCGTCACGTGACGATGGGACCAGAACTCCGTGCGTCACATGACGATGGGACCAGAGCTCCGTGCGTCACGTGACGATGGGACCAGAGCTCCGTGCGTCACGTGACGATGGGACCAGAGCTCCGTGCGTCACGTGACGATGGGACCAGAGCTCCGTGCGTCACGTGACGATGGGACCAGAACTCCGTGCGTCACATGACGATGGGACCAGAGCTCCGTGCGTCACGTGACGATGGGACCAGAGCTCCGTGCGTCACGTGACGATGGGACCAGAGCTCCGTGCGTCACGTGACGATGGGACCAGAGCTCCGTGCGTCACGTGACGATGGGACCAGAACTCCGTGCGTCACATGACGATGGGACCAGAGCTCCGTGCGTCACGTGACGATGGGACCAGAGCTCCGTGCGTCACGTGACGATGGGACCAGAGCTCCGTGCGTCACGTGACGATGGGACCAGAGCTCCGTGCGTCACGTGACGATGGGACCAGAACTCCGTGCGTCACATGACGATGGGACCAGAGCTCCGTGCGTCACGTGACGATGGGACCAGAGCTCCGTGCGTCACGTGACGATGGGACCAGAGCTCCGTGCGTCACGTGACGATGGGACCAGAGCTCCGTGCGTCACGTGACGATGGGACCAGAACTCCGTGCGTCACATGACGATGGGACCAGAGCTCCGTGCGTCACGTGACGATGGGACCAGAGCTCCGTGCGTCACGTGACGATGGGACCAGAGCTCCGTGCGTCACGTGACGATGGGACCAGAGCTCCGTGCGTCACGTGACGATGGGACCAGAACTCCGTGCGTCACATGACGATGGGACCAGAGCTCCGTGCGTCACGTGACGATGGGACCAGAGCTCCGTGCGTCACGTGACGATGGGACCAGAGCTCCGTGCGTCACGTGACGATGGGACCAGAGCTCCGTGCGTCACGTGACGATGGGACCAGAACTCCGTGCGTCACATGACGATGGGACCAGAGCTCCGTGCGTCACGTGACGATGGGACCAGAGCTCCGTGCGTCACGTGACGATGGGACCAGAGCTCCGTGCGTCACGTGACGATGGGACCAGAGCTCCGTGCGTCACGTGACGATGGGACCAGAACTCCGTGCGTCACATGACGATGGGACCAGAGCTCCGTGCGTCACGTGACGATGGGACCAGAGCTCCGTGCGTCACGTGACGATGGGACCAGAGCTCCGTGCGTCACGTGACGATGGGACCAGAGCTCCGTGCGTCACGTGACGATGGGACCAGAACTCCGTGCGTCACATGACGATGGGACCAGAGCTCCGTGCGTCACGTGACGATGGGACCAGAGCTCCGTGCGTCACGTGACGATGGGACCAGAGCTCCGTGCGTCACGTGACGATGGGACCAGAGCTCCGTGCGTCACGTGACGATGGGACCAGAACTCCGTGCGTCACATGACGATGGGACCAGAGCTCCGTGCGTCACGTGACGATGGGACCAGAGCTCCGTGCGTCACGTGACGATGGGACCAGAGCTCCGTGCGTCACGTGACGATGGGACCAGAGCTCCGTGCGTCACGTGACGATGGGACCAGAACTCCGTGCGTCACATGACGATGGGACCAGAGCTCCGTGCGTCACGTGACGATGGGACCAGAGCTCCGTGCGTCACGTGACGATGGGACCAGAGCTCCGTGCGTCACGTGACGATGGGACCAGAGCTCCGTGCGTCACGTGACGATGGGACCAGAACTCCGTGCGTCACATGACGATGGGACCAGAGCTCCGTGCGTCACGTGACGATGGGACCAGAGCTCCGTGCGTCACGTGACGATGGGACCAGAGCTCCGTGCGTCACGTGACGATGGGACCAGAGCTCCGTGCGTCACGTGACGATGGGACCAGAACTCCGTGCGTCACATGACGATGGGACCAGAGCTCCGTGCGTCACGTGACGATGGGACCAGAGCTCCGTGCGTCACGTGACGATGGGACCAGAGCTCCGTGCGTCACGTGACGATGGGACCAGAGCTCCGTGCGTCACGTGACGATGGGACCAGAACTCCGTGCGTCACATGACGATGGGACCAGAGCTCCGTGCGTCACGTGACGATGGGACCAGAGCTCCGTGCGTCACGTGACGATGGGACCAGAGCTCCGTGCGTCACGTGACGATGGGACCAGAGCTCCGTGCGTCACGTGACGATGGGACCAGAACTCCGTGCGTCACATGACGATGGGACCAGAGCTCCGTGCGTCACGTGACGATGGGACCAGAGCTCCGTGCGTCACGTGACGATGGGACCAGAGCTCCGTGCGTCACGTGACGATGGGACCAGAGCTCCGTGCGTCACGTGACGATGGGACCAGAACTCCGTGCGTCACATGACGATGGGACCAGAGCTCCGTGCGTCACGTGACGATGGGACCAGAGCTCCGTGCGTCACGTGACGATGGGACCAGAGCTCCGTGCGTCACGTGACGATGGGACCAGAGCTCCGTGCGTCACGTGACGATGGGACCAGAACTCCGTGCGTCACATGACGATGGGACCAGAGCTCCGTGCGTCACGTGACGATGGGACCAGAGCTCCGTGCGTCACGTGACGATGGGACCAGAGCTCCGTGCGTCACGTGACGATGGGACCAGAGCTCCGTGCGTCACGTGACGATGGGACCAGAACTCCGTGCGTCACATGACGATGGGACCAGAGCTCCGTGCGTCACGTGACGATGGGACCAGAGCTCCGTGCGTCACGTGACGATGGGACCAGAGCTCCGTGCGTCACGTGACGATGGGACCAGAGCTCCGTGCGTCACGTGACGATGGGACCAGAACTCCGTGCGTCACATGACGATGGGACCAGAGCTCCGTGCGTCACGTGACGATGGGACCAGAGCTCCGTGCGTCACGTGACGATGGGACCAGAGCTCCGTGCGTCACGTGACGATGGGACCAGAGCTCCGTGCGTCACGTGACGATGGGACCAGAACTCCGTGCGTCACATGACGATGGGACCAGAGCTCCGTGCGTCACGTGACGATGGGACCAGAGCTCCGTGCGTCACGTGACGATGGGACCAGAGCTCCGTGCGTCACGTGACGATGGGACCAGAGCTCCGTGCGTCACGTGACGATGGGACCAGAACTCCGTGCGTCACATGACGATGGGACCAGAGCTCCGTGCGTCACGTGACGATGGGACCAGAGCTCCGTGCGTCACGTGACGATGGGACCAGAGCTCCGTGCGTCACGTGACGATGGGACCAGAGCTCCGTGCGTCACGTGACGATGGGACCAGAACTCCGTGCGTCACATGACGATGGGACCAGAGCTCCGTGCGTCACGTGACGATGGGACCAGAGCTCCGTGCGTCACGTGACGATGGGACCAGAGCTCCGTGCGTCACGTGACGATGGGACCAGAGCTCCGTGCGTCACGTGACGATGGGACCAGAACTCCGTGCGTCACATGACGATGGGACCAGAGCTCCGTGCGTCACGTGACGATGGGACCAGAGCTCCGTGCGTCACGTGACGATGGGACCAGAGCTCCGTGCGTCACGTGACGATGGGACCAGAGCTCCGTGCGTCACGTGACGATGGGACCAGAACTCCGTGCGTCACATGACGATGGGACCAGAGCTCCGTGCGTCACGTGACGATGGGACCAGAGCTCCGTGCGTCACGTGACGATGGGACCAGAGCTCCGTGCGTCACGTGACGATGGGACCAGAGCTCCGTGCGTCACGTGACGATGGGACCAGAACTCCGTGCGTCACATGACGATGGGACCAGAGCTCCGTGCGT